AGGTTCGTTTTAATTTGCTAGCCGTGGTCTGAAGCCAATACATAGGATTTTAACAATCCTTCTGCAGGACTATAGCAAAGCCCAAGGACAGACCCTCTCTCGCGTGGTATTCTACATAGAGAGGAGTTCCAGTGTTGTCATGAATCTAGCAACTACAGAGGGAGAAATTTTTACATCTGGGGGCAACAAGCTTGCATCTACAAGGCCATGACCAGGTGTGTGCAACTGCAGTTTGGTGAGGTGTGCTGCACTCTGTTTGAATGGGCCATGATTAAGTCGATTTTAAGCTCTGTTCTTATGCCTCAGGAAAGGACAGTAACTGAATCACTGATCTGAAGGCTACCATGTTAGAGCGTAGAACAAAATCTCACCAGGCAAGAGAAGGGGTTTTCTAATCATTTTTAATTAGACTTTAATGATTTATTGCTCATCTGCAAGGATTAATATTGCATTCATTAAAAATCATTCATATACAAAATAAACCTTTCCCACCCGGATTGGTGCTAACATGCTCCCTCTGACAGAACCAAGGCTTCTCTAGGCATAAGACCAATTGTTCCGTTGTATCCTTTAGTTACATGGCTTATACCGAGATGGAGCCCTTAAGCTAAGATTTCTCGTGACACTAACACTCAGACAGACAAACGGAACAGAGGGCCATCATGACGGAGAACATTTAGGAGAACATGTACTCTGTTTGGCTGAGTGGGAGACCCCAGCCTGCTCTGGGATACTAGAACTTCTGTGCGCGCAGGAAGTGCAAAGGGAGTCATGGCATGGAGCAAACCCCCTGGACTGGAGCAATGATGGAGAGGGAGCAACTCTATGCTCCTGGCCATGTCCTCTTCCCTGAGCAAGAGGAAAGGGGAGCAGGGCCCCCAAAGGATCCTGGCTCACCACTCCAAACCCAGCTGCATCTGGCTGGAAATTCAGGTGATGGGGGGGAGGGAGGGGAAGAGGAGTGGGATGTACTGGTGGACTTGGTAATGTCATTGGGAACCAGACCTGGTAGCCCAATGCAGCAGCGAGTCAATCAGAAACTAAGGCTACGTCTACACTGGCCCCTTTTCCGGAAGGGGCATGTAAATTTCACCAGTCGTCGTAGGGAAATCCGCGGGGGATTTAAATATCCCCCGCGGCATTTAAATAAAAATGTCCGCCGCTTTTTTCCGGCTCTTAAAAAACCAGAGGGTCTTATTCCTACTTTAAAGTAGGAATAAGACCCTCCGGAAAAGGGCACTTTTTCCGGAGGATCGGGGCCAGTGTAGACGCTCTTTTCCGGCTTTTTTAAAAGCCGGAAAAAAGCGGCGGACATTTTTATTTAAATGCCGCGGGGGATATTTAAATCCCCCGCGGATTTCCCTACGACGATTGGTGAAATTTACATGCCCCTTCCGGAAAAGGGGCCAGTGTAGACGTAGCCTAAGAGTTTACCCAGGAGAGGAGGGCAAGAAAGATTAATCAGCTGGGCAAGGCTGTCAAGAAGAGTCTGGAGGATGAAATCTTAACCCCATCAGCAAGGAGCTGTTCACTTCCAGAGAGGGAAGCAGCCAGGATCACCAAGAAACAAATACAGGTGGGTTCCTCAGGGGCGGTGCTGGGAATGAATCTCTGTACTTGGGTGAGGGTGGCACGAGAGCATAGGCTTGGTCAAGAGGGTTTGCTATGCCTGGCTGCAGCAGCTCAATTGTCGTTGTACCTGCACATTCATGCAGGGCTTTGAAATGCTTGACTGACGCCGTCCACTCAGCAGAAATACCCTCAGGGACTGGAGCTGGGCTGTTCGGCCACTGCAGCTCAAACTCCTTCCCTTTACCTGCCATCGAGCAATGAACTGGAATCTGGATTTTTGTGCTGTGACCCTTGTTGAATTAAGCCTGGAAGAGGCTGAAAGCCATGGGGCATTCGCACCTTCCATAGTGGGACCATGACATGGTGAACCAGATGAAATAAGACAACCTGCCAACTTCTGGGCTGGGGGACAAAGAGGTGATTGATCAAAGCAGCTTCATGCTTTAGAGGAGAGCTGTCAGCTGGCCAGGCATTCCCCCTCCCAGTGGAGTTCAGTGGTTTACAGAGCCGTCCCGACTGGAGAATTTTGATTTCAACATGAGCACTTGCTGGTGGAGCTCATGGAAGAGCTGTTACATCATCACTCTGCATGTTAAGGGCCAGGTGTGTTCCACACACTTGTGCTCAATGCCTGGGGGAGTTCACGGGACTCAGCTCACATTGGTGGCTCGTGGCCGGACAGGCTGCGGCGTACTCTCAGCTGCCTGACTAGTCCTCGGTGTGCCCACTCGGAAACGCTTGCTCCCTTAAAATAACGGGCTGGAACGGAAAAGAAGAGAGAATGGTCTGAAGTGAAATAAGGTGTGGCCAAAGCCTGGCAAAGAGGAGGCGTCCGATGGGTAGGCGGTCCCTTTTCAAACTCAGATCAGCACCTTGAAATAGACTAGTTAAACCCGACCGGGGCTTATCCTTACCAGGCACCAAACCACCTTCACTTAGGCAACCTGGGCTGGGGTTACACACCTGTACCCCAGCTGGCCACTAGGTGCCACTCTGCTCCAATGCAGGGACAGGAGCATTGATCTAGCAGCTAAAAACTGGGCTCATTAAGGCAATTTAGAAGTTGCAGATAGTTTGGGGGGGGGGGGGAGGGGGGGAAAAACGGGGGGGGGGGGAAGGGGGGAAAAACAACACACAGAGTACCTCTCTCAGTGTTTGCAGCGATCCCAACTAAAACTAAGGTGCACTGGAAAGGTAAAAACCATTGTGGGAATGAATTGCCCTTCCAACTCAGGAAAGGAAACTCCTCCCATTACTGAAAGCCTGACACCACACAGGCAGGCGTCAGCCATCAAGCAGGAAGCAAATCCCACCGTGTCTGCCAAGATCAGACCTACAGAGAGACGCGATCACTTGAAAGTGTAAGACAAAGAAGCGACATTAAAATCAGACTGCTAAAAGAAAAACAAAAACTGTTTCTTTTCCAAAAGAAAAGAGTAAAACAAAATAAAATGATCTTTAAAAATAATTTCTCTAAAGTTGTCTTGTGTGGTCCCGTCCTTCATGGCTGTGGTCCATCAGTATCTGAAACACAAGGAGAAGAGACCCGAGTCAGGCTACAGGTACGACACTAGAATCCACGCTGTCAGTGGGACAATTGGCACCTTCGGAGAGCAGCCAGCGGCCAGCGCAATTCTTTCCCAAGCCTGACAAACACCAGCTCTACTCCCAGCCTGGGTGCCTCTCATCCCACCCAGAGCTGGCTAAGCAAACAGCTGGTCTGCGTCCAGCCACGTTGACAGTATTACCCTGCCCCAGCAAGCAGCAAGGTATCTACACCCCCACAGGGCACTGCGATCAGAGGCACAACCCATGCTGCTCCCCCGGGAAGAGACAGCCCTCTCACACGGCTATTACCTGTAATAGTTGGGTTTGAAAGGCCCGTTCTTGTTGAGTCCCAGGTATTTTGCTTGATCATCTGTTAGCTCTGTCAGATGGGCATCAAAGGAAGGCAGGTGCAAGCTGGCAACATATTCATCTGGGAAGAGCAAAGATGAAGTCAGGGGGATTGAGTGTGATGGCCCTGCCCACGGTGGCACATTTAACAGAACCAACGCACAGGTGGCAGCTATTAAGTGACATCAGAATGTGGTACTGGGTGCCCCAGCTACTACAGAGATGGGCAAGGGCTAAGCCCTAGAGGGAACAGCTGATCCCTGCAGAGTCAATGTGTCCTGCACTGCCTGAAAAGGCCTCTGGCGTCGACGGCTCTTCCTCGGCTACTTGGCACTGCTGGAGCAAGATGGGAAGGGCTCGGCCACTCCCCCAGAATCCTGACCGGTGGCATGAGTCTGGGCTCTACCCCGACCCCCGCGGGCTGTTGGGGAGCATCTCCCTCGCCGGTGGCTTTGCCTCCTGTGCTGGGGATTGCGAGGGGGAACGATGCTGGCCAGACAAGGGCACCAGAGTGCTCGGCGCAGCGCTTGGGCCAGAGTCTGACCTGGTCGCCAGGGCAGGAGCTGACTCCATTAGCAGGGCCTTGAGGCCAGTGTCTTTTTCTTTATAGTGCAAGGCTTAACGACTTGCAATACAGCACTTGTGGCTAACATGCACCTCGCCCAACCCCCTCAGGTACCTGCTATGCGGGGCGCTTGCATTCTGAACATGGTTTAAAACCTGGGGATTGGGCCATGCCCTGACCTTAGGCTAAGCCCCACCCTCACATGAATTAACACTACTGAGAACTAGCTACACCAGGACACCGCCTGCTCAGCAAAAAAAGCAGCTGCCTGGAGCACAGCAGTTCGGAGACACTGGTGCACTGGTAGAGAACTGAGGGTGGGGGGGAGCACACAGCACCCCTTACACTGCGCCAGGGAGCTCCCCACTCCAGGGGCAGCTTCCCTGGGGTACTGCTGAGGGGAAACCTGGCACCGTTGCATGTGGTAAGTACACCCCTCCTCGCCACTGTGGAACGGACTTGCGCAAGCTTGAACTGCACGTTCAGGAGGTGACTCGTTCATTCTGTGCTGCCCAGAGCAGCTGGCTCACTCCCACCACTGGCGTGAATGGACACCAAAGGCAGCCTGACCCCGGCTTCTCCTACATTTTACTGTTACGAGTCTCAGCCTCAATAGTAAAAGCATCTTGCTGATCCTCCAAGTCAGAAGAGCAAAGCTGTGCTTCTGCTTCATTAGCATCAGCCAGGGACTCTCGCTCCAAGCCCTGCTAGGCAAGACACATGGTCACTGGCACTTGGGTGTCAGGAAAAGGTTTGAGAGCGAAAGGCAGCACATCAGTTACACGACCCAGCCAACAGTGCATACACATCACCCCAAACTTCCTGCCTGCTGCAATCCCCTCTGAATAATCACACCGCAGGTTGGCTTCAGTTTCTCCTAGGAGCAAGAAAAGGAGGGCCAGAGAGCTCCGCTGAGTCTGGGGAGATTGTCGCTTCTCTAACAGCTTTGCTGGGCCCTGGCTGGATCCCACACAGCCCTGTTGGTTGGAGACCCCTTCAACTAGGGGCTCCAGAGCTTCCTTTACTCACCCATCTTTTTAGGCAGCAGGTACACATCTTGCTTGTAACGTCCCTCGGGAGCATTGTAGAGCTCAATCAGGGCTAGAGCCTGTGGAGACCAGGAAGGGTAAATCAGGCACCAGGGCAGAACTCAGCAGTGTGGGGGGCAGGGAGAAGCCCGCCAGAGGCCAGACCATGGTATGCATGTGGAGATTGACACTGATGGCAATTAGCACACCAGAACAGTCCACCTGCAATGCAAGACAATGGGTCCTGGGTCTCCTCACTGATAAAACCCATTACAAGAAATGTTTCCATTCTGAAGATAACCTTGCCTCCTGGTCATGCGACTCAAATACCATAGGACCCTGGCACTAGAGAGCCACAGAGAATCTGACCAGCATCTTTTCAGTGCTCCAGCTGGATGTGAGGGCAAAACATAACCCTTGGACACACAGAAAAGCCAAAGATAAAATCATCTTCTGTGAAAATCTACGGTGGTCCTCAGTCACAGGCAAGGGAATTTGTGTTTAACAGACATTCATTTTAACCTGGCAGTGTCCTCTCTCAAGAGAAATGGCCAGCTCTCCCTTGATGTAACTTGGTGGAGCAGCTGCTGGTCCAAAGTGCTGATACTGTAACACGTTCCAATTGGCATGAAAATAACTCCCTGTCAAGAGAAACAATCCCCAGAAACTCCCTTCCGCAATGCCCCGAGCTAGAGAGTTCAGTTTAGAACAAGTTTAAGGGCCTTCCAGCTCCAGATTTCCCAGTGTATCATACTTCCTGCATCTCTCTCAGATTATAGCAAGGACAGCCTTGACTTTGCATGGCACAGAGCAGAACTCATAGCCAGTGCTGAACACAATTTGCAGCGCAGCGCTGTATTTCTTTATAATGCTGTTTCCAGAGACAGCCACGAGCCAAGAAATGTGAAGGGCGGTGAGGACAGCTCTCCATGTGAGGTAACATTGTTACCAAGGAGGGTTTAAATCATTTTGATCTTAGAGCCAAAACAGAGTAGAGAATTTTTTATCCCAAGAGAAGTTGCTCCAAAGCTGTACACTGCAAACTCACGCGGCTGAAATCCTGAGTTACAGAAAGCATCCCCTGCTGCTCAATGGTGACATCCAACCTCCCCTCAAAGTACAGCGCGAGGCAAGACAGGCGAGCCTTGAGCCAAGGACTGAACGGCTCCAGTCACATACCTGAGTGGTGGCTGTGATGGACAGAACAAAGGTGGGAACTGTTGAGCAGCTCAGATTGAGAAGACGACCCTACAATGGCAACAGAAAGACACTGAACTCATGACACTGGCGACAGCTTACGTGTTCGGAAAACGGGGTGAATTTTGTCCCTCCCAATGCTTCAGATTCACCCATTTAGTCAGGTTACTAGTTGGAGCCAAACCAGCCTCAATACTTCCCACCCTCAGGGGTCCACACACCATCTCCAGTCTCACTGCCTGGGCCAGGCCTATTTGAGAAGGCGCAGTGCCCCGCTTCCCACGAGTTCCTGTCCTCAGCTAAAGGACAGACATGCAGTGTGGCCCTGACAAAGGGAGAGACCCTCCCCCACTGCAGGGCCGGTGGTGTGCCCAGGGAGGCGGGCGTGAGGAGCTGGAAAGGAAGGAGACATGCAGTGTTTTGTAGACACCGGGTCCTTCCCAGCCAAGACAGCAATTGGTCTGGCTAGCATGCAGGGCAGGGGAAAGGCAGCTGGTAACTGGTGCTGAGAGCAGGGGTTAGAATTGGTTCCTTAGCCCTCCTGAGACAGTCCAACCAAGAAACCAGACTCCAGGAACTTCATGGTACAGGGTCCCCCCGGCTTCCCAGCCCAACAGGGTGCTCTGTAGTTATGCTCTGGAGCTATCTCCCAACTCACACCAATGCCCACAGTATCTCCTGGGATAGCAACAGCCCCAGGAGCCCCTGCAGCAAGGAGGTGCTTAGCACAGATGCTCTTCTGAAGCCTGACTTCCAACTGTACCTCAGCCAGCAGGACCACCCGCTTGCCATCTGGCCAGATAACATGGTCCACCTGTGAGCGGACGCGCTCCCAGGTCAGCTCTGGGGTGCGGAGACTGGTCTGTGGGAGAGACACATGCAGGAGTCATTTACCTGTGACCCAAGGGGCCCAGTGGAAAGCAACTGGTAGCAGCCTGAGGCTACAGGACCCAGGGCCTCACTGCTGCAAAGGCTGATGGGACATGTAAGCAGCAGAGTCTCACCACATCGATTTCCGTGTTGGAATGGCCCATGTTACACACAATGCAGCTGTTCTTCATTCGGTCCAAGTGCTCCCTGGTCACCACGTTCTTGTTTCCTACCGAGAGAGGGGACGTGACTAGAAACCCAAACAACTAACTCGTGCCTACCGATCCCTCTCTTCACCCTGGCGGGCACTGAAGATTTCTGCCCAAAGCCTGGCACAAGGTTCAGTCTCCGCCAGACCGCCGCTGGCTGGTGCACTCAGCCCACATTCACTAGGGCACAGCTGGCTGGAGGGCTTGGCAACAGAGGAGCTATGCTTCTTGTTGATCAGAAGGCCACGGCTGTGGTCTGCATACGAGCTGGCTGTGGCACTCCAAAGTGAGCTCCCATAAGTGGCTGTGAGGTCACCCAGTAGCAAAAAGAACCCAAAAGGGCAAGAAAAATGTGCACTCCTGAGTCACAATCTCCCCCTTCCCGTGGAGACCGACTCCCCTTGACCCACCGAGGCCGGCAGGTGGAGCTCACATTTTGACACCGACACAGCAGTGGATTTGATTTTCCCTCAGCTGCCTTCCAGCTTGGCTCCCCTCGCAGGCTAGGAACTGCTCTAGCTCCCCAGAGAGCAGGGACTTGAGGGAGCCCAAGGTCACAAGTTGTATGGCTCAGGTTGCCTGGGTAACATGGCGACTGAGGGGTCCAAGCACAGGAATCAGTACCTGCTCCATGCACAGGCACAGGCCCATCACCTGCTCTCTGACGAACGTGGAGCAGGGAAACCCTAGAGTCCTGCCCCAAGTACATGAGCCCAGGATCAGTTCCAGGGAGCCTGAAGCAAGCCTCAGCCACAGTCCCCTCCCCCACCATCGCTGTACCTGTGCAAGTTATGACCACATCCACCTGGCGGACCACTTCATTGAGTTTCACCACTCGGAAGCCGTCCATGCTGGCAAAGGGAAAAGGGGGCATGAGAAGATGAACCGGAGCAGCCCCGCCTGCCTACCACAGCATGGCCTGGAGAGGGGAAGCCAGGCAGGATGCAGCCGGCTATTCTGACCAAACAATGGCCGAGTAGCAGGCTCCCCACCCGCAGCCCGAGTGCAGCACGTACACGATAGGCAGTGTGGGTAGGAGCCTGTAGGAAAGCACCTGGCTATGGATCCCAGCAACAGAAAGCAACCTAGAGGCCGGCACCCAATGGAGCATGGAGCCCTGCACCATTCTTTTAAGGCTCCTAGGGTCTCCAAATCCTGCTGGCTCTCTTGGGCCACAGATCCAGGAGCCCAGTGGCAGCACAAGTGAGGGAAAGTCGCTGAGAGACGTGTGTATGAGACTCGGCGTGGGCCCGGGCAGGGCTGAGGGCTGAGACGTGAAGCTCAATGGGCAGGAGCCCTCGCGACGAGCAGGGGCTCCCTCAGCAGTGTTGAACACTTCAGCTCTTACCAGGCTTGGAGAGCACAGATGGGGTCAATCTCGGTGATGTTGACTATGGCTCCGAGGGCTTTCAGAGCTGCACAGCACCCCTTTCCAACCTGCAACACAGAGACGAGCCTCCAGACATGGCTCCAGCGGGACCCCACAGACAAGCCGTGCCAAAGGACCCGCACCCGTCTGCTTACACAGGGAGCGAGGTCACTGTACACGTCTGCAACGCCAAGGCTCAGGTCCAACTAACTCCAGGGCAGAAGCATCCGTATCAGCTCTACAACATACATGGCAACAGGCACTTGGCCCCTCACAGCCCAGGTCTTCCTCCCAGAAGGGTCATTCCAAGATCAGCAGCTGGCCTTCGTGGCCTGCGCCTAACATCCAGCAGGTCCAAGGCTCTGAAGTGACTGCATTCAGCCATGGAAGCCAGCGAGCAGAGATCACAGCTAACTGCTTTTAAACCAAGGAAATGGAGACCTGGGCCTGGACTAACTTCCACATGCACTTTAAGGAGAACAAGGGTGTGCAACAGCTTTGTCACAGACCCCATATTTTTATTTAGCACAGATGGGGTAGTCAGTGTGGCTCTACAGTTCAGCCTCGGGCGTCTCATATTTAATATGGCAAAGCAGCCCAGTTGGGACTACGGATCCCAGCATGCAATGCTGCAGCTTGCTCGGAGCAGACAGGCGAACCCTTGGAGCCCCTGGCAGATTGCCAACACAGCCTTTTGGTTGGGCAAAGTTTTGGTTCCTTCGGTGTATAAACAAATTAGTATGCATGTTCCTGGGGAGAAGAGCATTTACTGCTACCGCCAGGGTCTCAACTGTACTGGACACAGCTGGTAAGGTAAACACACACACAGACAGCCTGCAAACAGGGGAGGGGTCAGGTCCCTGATTTGTGATGTCTCTTTTAGGTTTTACAATCAAGATAAATGTAAGTCCAGGAGTTTTACAGGCACCAGGGAGTTTCAAAGCATGCAGCAAGAGAACTGCCTCATTCTATCTGCCTGCTTTATAAAGCCAAGAGTATAGCAGTCATTCTAGAGCTCCATTCACCAAGGCTCCAACTGTGATCACCCTGAGGGCTCTGACACTGCAGTACACATGGTATGGCCATTCAGAGCGGTACCAGCAACAACTGTGTTGAAACAGAACAATTCAGACAAATTTTGAAGCAAGCTGGGAAACAGATCAGCAGTATGTAGCAAGGTTTTCCTGCATGAGCACTTGACAAGGTGGGCTTCTATCTTCCAATGCCGGAAAACAATTCCCTCCAGGATCAGCAGCCAGCCAGGCACAGACATAGGGCAAACAGTCTAGAGAGGCACTCTTCCCTTCTATTACATATGAGCTCTTCTATCCTTAGCAAGGGTAAGAGGCTGTTGCTAGTCAGATGGATAATGAACCTGGGGAAAGGATGGTCCTGACCATGCTTCAGGGAAGAGATGCAGAATCAAAGCAACACAACTTGGTGTTCATACTGGGAACTCACCTCCCCATAGCCACACACCACCACTTGCTTCCCTCCAAACATCACATCTGTGGTCCTCTTTAGGCTGCAGGATAGAAACAGACCTGTGTTGGGATTAGTCAGTCTCAGAGCTTTCCAGACAGAGGCAATGCTCTATGCCGGCTGCTCTAAGTGACAGCCAATCACGTGGCTGGACGCTGCAACATTCGGCTAGGGCACACCGGAGTTGGATTTAAATGCCATGGCAGCCAGAGAAAGACATGAATTAAAGGAAGGCCTCCGCACCCTCAGATCTCCTCAATGGCCAGACATCCTGAAGGATCAGACTCACCCGTCCAAGATGGACTCCCTGCAACAGTATAGGTTATCGAATTTCTGTTTGGTCACAGAGTCATTGACATTCATGGCCGGGACGCACAGTTTCCCAGCCTTGGACAACTGGTACAGTCTGCAGGGAGAAAGGACACTTCAGAACCTGTTCCATTAAACACTCTAGAGATCTGTCACAGCAAAGCCAAGGCGAGCCGAATTAATACCATGCCCCACAGAAAGACGGCACCCCTGTAGCCTCCTAGCCTAGCACTAGGGAGTGGAAAGCTGGCTACCCAGAAGGCAAACTGCCACAGAACATGTAGCTCCACAAGCCGCTCAAGAGAGGTGCAAGACAGAGCCAAACACACAGCAGAGGAAGTGATTGACAAATTAAATCATGTAATTAGATACTCAGCCCTTCACAAGCTTCTGTCACTTCCTGGAAGCAATCGGAGCACATGTGTAAACAGTAAGGGTCAGGGAACCCTGAAGGCCTTCCCTCGCATGGCCAGAAAAAGTACACCGACTCACTGACTGCTAGTCCCATCCAGCTGCCATGGAGAACAGCAGCCGCCTGTAGCAAGCAAAAGAGCAGTGACAGAGGTTCGATTCATGGCTGTCCCTGGGTCCGTTACCTGTGCACACCAGTCACACTCTCCTCCACAATGCCGCGGATCTTCTTAAACACGTTGGGATATTTCTTATAAACCCAGTGAGTCAGGTCTCCCCCATCATCCAGGATCTAGGGAACATGAAGAGAAAAGCAAAGGATATTGTGTCCTGCTGCTGCCAGCAAGCCAGGTCACACTCAGCTACACACAAGCCCCTGTAAATCAGGAGATGACTGGAGGATTTCTGCTCCTGGGTTCTATTCCTAGGTGTGAGACTTGTCTGGTTCAGGGCATGTACCATGACTCAGTTTCCCCTCCATGAAATAGGGATAACTACTGACCCACCTCACAGGCGGACCAGAAGGCTGCTTGCATACCACTTCCAATCTTTGACCTGAGCGTCTCTAAATATCGCACATGCTCACTCAGGAGCCAAGAAGTCTGTGCCCAACCCAAAAGGGAACAGTCCTCAGGGCCAGGTTTAGACACTGCTTTGCTAAAGGGCTTGTTTCCTAGGTGAGGGAGGAAGATAAATACCAGTTAGGGAGCAGACCCCAAGAAACAGAGCACCCCATGGACTTCATGCAAATTTCATAGGAACCTCCACATGGCTCTGTGGAGCTGAGCAGCACAGGGACTGGTTTGTTCTCCAGTGTGAGTTAAGTCAGACTCTTATGGGAGTGGCATATACCCCAATACCTACAATGTCTATCGGCCTCTTGAGAATTCTGCCTACTCACAGACCCTACAAGTCTCCCCTCCTCCAGCGACCCTGGGCTGTCTAATCACAGGCTCTAAAACACTCGATCTCTGGGAACTCCCCTTCTTGAGTAGCACTCAACCCCGCCCGGCATAGAGGAGAAAAATGCTCCACGGATACACTTACAAGCCAATTCCCCCCAGCACCATCTCTGGGGGGGGGCAGGGCTGCAGAGGGGAAGAGCATTTCAAAAGCAGAAGTGCCGCAGGGAGCACGGGGCGAGCAGGGGGACTCAGCATTCCCCCACTGGCCCTATGTTCCCTGCTTAGGGGATCTTGTGCATTTCCAAAGCAGGGAGCATGGGGCCAGTGGGGGACTGCTTGAGACCCCCGCTAGCTCCGTGCTCCCTGTGGCGCTTCCACCTTTGAAATGTAGCGAGAGCCAGCAGGGCTTCCGCTACATTTCAAAGACAGAGGCGCCCTTAGCGACTATTCGGATAGTCAATGCAAATTTCCTCCATTATTTGATTAGTCGATTCATCTAAATTGGATATCCCTCCTGATACACCGAGGGACTGGTGGCACAAGAGAGCGGCCGGATATTCAGCAAAAATCACAAGGTAATCTAATCTATTTGCCATTAGCAACAGCTCTTGGAAACCTAAGCTGTGTTCTGGGAGGGAGGACAGGCAGTGGAACATTGTGCGTGGGCGGAGCACAGGAAAGGCTGGGAAATGCTCCCATTACCATGTTGGCCTGCCAACCATCCATGTTAACACAACGGTCAATACACCACCAGAAATCATCCTCTGACTCCCCCTTCCAGGCAAACACAGCAACACCTAGGGAGGAGAAAAATCCAGTCATTTGCTGCTGCTGTGCGGGAGGGCGCTGAACAAGGCCCGCCGACACCGAGGCCTGGGCTAACACATGTGAGATGGCTCCTACGCTCTTAGACTCCCCCAGCTCTTTAAGCCTACGCTAACAGAAATAGCCAGTGCTGAAAACAGGCGCCTCTGCGCAGAGCTGAACAGCAAGCCTGGTCAAGAGCAAGCCCGTGTTATAACCCACCCCCCCGGCTCTGGGACGACCTTGTCCAGGGGGAATCTAGTTGTGCCCAAGTAGCCCTGGAATGTTCCAGAGGGGGCCGTGAAGTAGCAGTCACAGGCCTCTGGGCGTGCACGGTAGTTACAGGAATACTGGCAGTGCAATTTAAAACCAGCACAAGCTGCATTTCCATCAATCCCCTCCCGCTGCTCACACTGCACTCACCAGCCTCCGCCAAGGCAGCAGCCACCTCGTTCTGCGTGGAATAGATGTTGCAAGCAGACCAGCGGCACTGAGCCCCCAGCGCACACAGAGTCTCAATTAACACCTGGACACAGACGCAAACCAACAGTCAGCCCAAGAGGCAGCGGCAATGACAGTGCCGATTAAGGGAACTGCAGCCCAGAGCAAAGGGGGACAGTGACTCAACCACAGAGCATCTCCACTGGAGAGTGGAAACATCTGCTGACTGGCCCCCGGAGCAGCCATATTGCAAAATGCAGCTGCGAAGCAGTTACGTACACCCTCCTTGGGGAAGGGGGAAAGTGGGGACAATTTGCTCATGTGTGTCAATGCAGTATTGAAGCACTTCCTTGTATGCTCCCAGGGCTGAGAAAGTTCCCAAGATTATCGGCACAGATGAGAGAGAGAAGAGGAAAAGCCAGGCTCTGTTCTTCCGCCTCCCCTGCACCCACAAAGCCCCAAGCCCAAGGAGTACTCACTGCAGTCTGTGCTGTAATATGTGTACAGCCCACTATTTTAGCTCCTGCCAAAGGTTTCTCTCCCTGGGCCCGTTTCCTGAGTGAAATCAGAGCAGACATGTCTGTGAAAGGAACAGAGGGTTTTTAACAAGGTCTGTGTCCATCAGTGATTACTCTCCACACAGACCTCTGTGGCAGGACACCAGGTCAAGTCCTGCACCTCTCCCTCTCCATGCTGCCAGACTAGCACATGGCTAGGAACAGAGGGGGGCATTTCAAAGCGAGCATTTAAAGCTTAGCACATATTCTAATGCATTTCCTTCCTCCCAAGATGGTCACTCTGCAAACCCCTTTACAATGGGGTATTTTCCATCTTCCACGGTGCGGTCAATGTGTGGGTAGATGGAGTTTGAAGGCACGGTCCTTCACCCATCCCTGAACCTGCCACACGCCATCAAATTCCACTTGAAGATACAAGTCGCGGTTTTTTACAACAGATGGACTGGCTGGTGCTATAAGTTTTATTGTCTGGAAAAGCATTTCGAGATCTTCACTGGTCAAGCTTCCCAATCCATATCCATCAGAACCTTAAATGCTTCTGAGTTCCTGCAGCTGACAAGAATGGAACACAGGAATACAGCCCAGTTAGCTCAGAAGATACCTTGCTCAGCAATCTCAATCTCCCGGCGCCCGAACTCTGCCTGCTTGATGTTCTTCACACAGAAGTTGCTGCTGCCCTTGGAGTTGGTTTGCTGTTTCTCTCGTGGGGAGACCTCATCATCAGAACTGTCTGTGTAGGATGCAGCTAAAACAGGAAAGAAACACAACAGGTGAATCTCAGAGGCTCCAAAAGCCATTCGTCTTTTACCCAGATACATTTCTGATTAGTTTCACTTCCTGTGATGTGCTAGCACAAGGCTGCAATTCTATGGTGCCAA